GCGATTGATGAACCCAAGGATGCAGGTATAATCTTCTTCTAGTTGTCAATAATCAACTTTCATTGCTTGGGATTTTAACTATCACAATATGTCTATTCTCAATAACATTACAAGTTTTTATCAACAATGTAATTAGTAGTGGATGTTATCTTTATTTTGCAAATGTTCATTTCAGACTCATACTCAAAACGTATCATTTGTGTAGATAAGCACTTGCCAACAGTTCTATTTTTCCATTATACAATCCGGGTTTTCTCTTTGGTTTTATTTTCATTTGGATTTCGCATGTTTGAGCTACATTATTTTAGCTAACCCTAACAGACAAAACACCTGTTAATGTGAGTGCAGTGTTCGTGAATGGGAAGTTTTGCAAGAACCCAAAGCTTGCCAAAGCTGATGATTTCTTCTTTCCTGGTCCCAAGATGCTCGGTCTCAACATCCCCAGAAGTACATCAAATCGAGTTGGGTCGAATGTTACTCCAGTAAACGTGGAACAATACCAGGGCTCAACACTCTTGGTATCTCATTAGCTCGTATTGACTTTGGCCCCAATGGCCTCAACCCACCCCATACCCACCCTCGTGCTACCGAAATCCTTGTTTGTTGGAGGGTACCCTACATGTTGGCTTTGTCACTTCCAATTTGAACCCAGGCAACCACCTCTTCACCAAGGTCCTACGCAAAGGAGATGTGTTTGTGTTCCCAGTGGGTCTCATTCACTTCCAATTCAATGTGGGAAAAACGAATGCCGTGGCTATTGCTGCTCTAAGCAGCCAAAATCCAGGAGTCATCACTATCGCAGATTCTGTCTTCGGCTCGACACACCCATTTCTGTTGATGTCCTTACCAAGGCATTTCAAGTGGATGAGAAAGTGATTGAGCTTCTCCAAAAACAATTCTAGTGGGAGAACCACTAGAAATTAATAACTTAGGGTGTGAAAAATTAATATAATGTACTCATGAATAAAAATAACAAACATAAACATACCATCTCACTACTCTTAGACCTGTATAAGAGTATATAATTAATTTTGTTTGTTATGTTTGGTGGCATCATTTTTACAAAGTTGCCTTGCAATAAAATAATTGAGTTTGCCATGTATGGTTCTTTTGGTGGAGAGATTTTCTCCTTTTACAAATAATGAAGTTTGTTATATATGCTTATGCTTAGTTCAGTGATTTGGATTAAAAAAAAAAACTACAATTGAATTCAAATCCTCTTAATATAAAAGTTTTAATTATTAATTTAAATAATTCATCCTTAAGTTCCATGAACTCTAACTCAAAGGGATAACTTAAGTAATAACATGGACGAGTTGTAAATTCTAACGTCTGTGTTGAGTTCGAATTTTGACAACTCCTTATACCCAGATAATGAGGGATTTATCCCTAATGAATATTCTAGTTTCTGCATAGATGGTCTACCTTTGATTGAATAAAAAAATGGGATTAGTAGAGGTGCACATTAGTTAACCTGAACAGTTCTGACCGTTAAACTAAAAAAAAAAAAAACGTACAATAGAGTTCCATGGACTTGATTTTGACAACAGTCCCGAGGAACATTTGCTTGATTTTCTCAAATCCAACAAAGAATCATTCTCTCAACAAGCTGAGGAAATTCTCTTCTCCAGTTTTGAGAGAATTGAAAACTAGAGGAGATTTCCCTTCTAGATGGTGCCTTGATACCATTTAACAAACTAATTCTTGGAATACACCTAATATGGGTACTTGTATTCACAAAAATCATAGACATTTCACAGTGCATGCTTGAAAACAGGAGAAGATTATAATAGTAGTGGACACCAAACCCATCTTCTCTCTTTATAATAGTAGTGTATATATATAATATCATGTAATAGTGAAATTGACTTAAATAAGAGTTTCCAAGCAAACCAAGTTCCAAAAAAAACATACCAATTAAGTTTATTCCATCACACCATGTATTAAAAAAAATATCTTCGTATGTACTTGTACTCATAGAACGTACTAAGTCAACTTAGGCTATAAATAAACATAAGACGCCTTGAACGTGATTTAAACAACACATGTAGCAAAATTTTCATAGTTAAGTACATGTATGTACTTAGACTATGGTGAAAAAAAAGGTAAAAGTCATATTATGATGATGGTAGTAAGAAAAAGCAAGGCAAGACCATTGGCCACATCCATGAGATAATTATGTTGCTGTCAGCTACGAAAAAAGAAATGAGAGTTGGTCGAACTGTGGAATAATTTGTTTTGGAATATAAAAAAAAACAACCATTGAAAACTTCGTAATTTTTTCTCCACTTTTGTGTGTATTAATATGACATACATAAATAAAACAAACATGAAAAAATCAGATATTTTTTTTTTCAATACTACTGAAATAGATCTATCGTGTCAAAATCGATTTATTCATAATCGATACTAGACTCGTTCATAATTTGTCTTAAAAATTAATTTATTTTAAATTTAGTGTCGGAAACTGGTCAATCTTATTTTGTTGATTTCTTATTGAATTTCCATTATGCATGGTAGCTTATCCTGTCAAAAAATAATTGCTAGTATCAATAATAACTTGCCAAAACCTAACCATGGAAGACAGGGTAAGTCTTCTTTGGGGTTATAAACATAATGACTAGATCAAGGTCACACTACCTACATGTAGGGGCTTTTATCATGTTAAATCTACACACTTCTCATCAAGAGGTTTTCCTTAAACCCAGCCCCCTAAAATCTTAATTTAAAAACTTAGTCAGTTTTGAACTTATTTTTTAAACCTAATTTTTTTCAAAAACGTTATTTAAAATAACGTTTTAAGATATTAAACGTTTTGGAAAGACATTTTAAAGTTGAAATTTTTTTCCTAAAAACTTCATTCATAATGACGTTTTAAAGTCGTCATTTGGTGTGACATTTTTAAACACGAATTTTGAATGGCAGCTAACGGATGTTTAAAAAAAAAAGGGGTAAAAAGTGTCATTGTAAAATGTCATGTACAATGACGATTTGAACATTATATCTCCTCCCTTAAAATTTCCCAAATTGCAGCCTAGGTTAAAAATTTTCAAACATTTGTACAGTCAGCTCTCCACCTCCACAAACGACTGTGAGCGAACTCCTCCACTCACCGCTCTTAGCCAGCCTCTTCTCTGACGAGCTGTAACCATTCAACGACAGTTATCTCCAACGAGCTCCAACCATTGTTCATCCAGCGAGTCAGCCAATGAGCGGTGAGCATTCTCCATTTCAGGCTAAGCATTCTCCATTCCAGACTAAGCAAGTCAGCGACTGAGCATTATCCATTCTCCATTCTGGACTAAATCGATAAATCGATTTAGAACACCAACGATTGAACATAGCTCCAGTCCACTGAGCTCCATCAAGTCTTCCATCCATCAGATCAGAGCTCCGCAGGCATTTCCATCGAGTCCTCCACCGAGCGACCATTTTCGACTCGCATCGAGCAATAGGTATGATGAGCAAACAATCACTCATCCTCTCCTACATCTGTTGGCGCTGAGTGCATTGATCCTGATTGTAGATGAAGTGTGTAGGAAGTATAAATGTGTGTTTTGTTTTTATGTGGGCTTGAAAGAACAAAATCTATGAACCTATTATATCCAGTAAGTTTTGAAAACAATACCTGAATTATTCATTCACTATAAGATTTGTCGTTTTGGTACTTTTGGCCAAACTAGATTTGACTTAGTTGTATTGTACAACCAAACAGTGAATCTTACCGAGAAGAAAATTTACCTGCTTTATAGTCATCCCTAAGAAATTTAAGAAATTTGTTACAACTTGGAGGCATGTATAAATGCAATATTTAAAGTTTGCACAGCCATGAAAGCATAAGATAAACATATCAAGATTTGTGTATTGAGATGTACTTTATTTTGGACTACATAATTGATGTTAGTCGCATAATATTGATGATTCGATTTGATTAAGCAAATATGGTTTCATTTGGTTAATTTTTCTGATCTTCTATTTTGGATCTTTGGTTCAATGTCAATTTTTTTGCTGCACTTTAGTTTGTTTACATGGTGGATTTTAGTGCCTGAGTCATGCTTTCTATTTTTTGTTGCTTTTATTGGTTGTCATGGACGATGATGAAAAGAGACACCCAAAAACACAAGGGTTGTTTGTAATTGGGTTGTGGTGATTTGGGTCTTTCTTTGAAGGTGTTTGAGAAAATTTCTCATAGAAGCATGGTTTGCTAGATTTCTATAATTGAAGGGTTTTTTTTTTGATAATGATAGACCCCTTTCCACAGATAGTTGGACAGCTAAAATGCTTGCAAATTGTTGCAAGTTTAACAGCTGAACGAGATGGTGAAACTAGGAAGGCTGCTTTAAATACTCTAGCTACTGGTTATAAGATTCTTGGTGAGTTGTGATGTCATACACTTATTGTAGACTGATCTAGTGAGATATTTAAATGAAATTTGCCACTTTCGCTTGTTTGCTTAGCCTTTCATTTTGTTGAACTTATTGTCTAGTAAATTATGTTTTTGAAAAGAGCTCAACAATATGGATGGATAGTCATTAGAAGAGCATTATATATGCATCAAAAAGGGGATATTCATCCGTTGCTTTTATTGGGGTGCATCTTGTTATTATTGTTTATCCTTCCTCCTCAGATTGTCTGATAAAATTATTTTTCAGGTGATGACATATGGAAATATGTTGGGAAGCTGACAGAAGCACAAAGAAGCATGTTGGATGATCAGTTTAAGTGGAAGATTAGGATAAATTTAGGCTTGGTTTGCTGTTTTTTCCTTCTTCCTTTCCTTATGATGTATGCATTTTTTCTGTCACGCCCGAGAGATGGACAAAAGGAAAGAGAGGAAGCCTGGTGAAGCTAGGGCTGCTTTAAGGCATTCTGTTAGGGATAATGGGTGTGTACCTGTTTGTCGAGACTTAAGCATCTTCTTTCTATGCATTTTTTTCATACACAACTTCACATACTGGTCGCTTCTTGCATCTAGCCTGCAGATATTGCGTCAAGTTTTAAACCAGGAGCATGTTAGATATGTGTCATAGATGATTAGGTTTGATCGTTCTTTGTAATAAAAGCCGATTCATACGGTTATACTGGCTGTTAGTTGTTATTCTTGCTTATATTTTATTCATGAAGCTCTTGAGTCTTCAAAATTATTTGTCAAATTGATTATTGAATGTATTAGACTTCTTTTTATTAGTAGATGAATCATCATGATGAGTTGGTTGAATCCATAGAAATTTTGGGAGATCTTTTAAGGATTTCAGGTGTTGTTTCTTTATTTATGAGATATTTGTCTTTAGAGGGCAGAACATGGGGGAGAATTGATCAGAAGGTATTCTAGGCAATTAAGCCTAGTTGGAATGACACGAATGAATCAAGAATGTTGGTATTTTTTACCGTGTCATGTCATAAATTTGTTTTGTTTTAATGTGTAAGTATCTCTTTCTATATTTTGAAGCTTTGCACACTTTTGTAGGTTAACTATAAATGCTCGATGAATTTATAACATAAAATTGAAATACATAATTTTTTAACATAT